TATATTATATTATATTATAATATTATTATTATTATTATAATTATCGTTCACGTATTCTTCACCGTATACGTCCTCGTGGCGGAGTGGATGTCCTTCTTGGCTAAAATCGACATTCCGGACACGTTGGAGCAGTCTGTTTCGTCATTCGGGGTCATCCGGACCATTTTTTTTTTACTATCGTGCCCAAAACAATAATTGGCACATTTTCACCCCGCCCGCGAAGTCGTAGCGAAGTGGACATCTCCCGTAAGTGAAATTGACGTTCCGGACACAGTGGCGAGGTTTGTTTCATCATTCGGGGTCATCTAGACAACTTCGCTGACGATCAGGTCAATTTGAGTCAATTTCGCGCGGGACGCGACACAAAATATTCGTTGTCCCGATCGGAGTCGTTAATCGTGCTAAACGCTGATCGTCCTTCGCCTAGGCAAAAGCCAAAGCCTAGCAGAATGATCTTGGCTACGTGCCTCTCAACACATGCCAAAAAGGTCTCGAGCGCGTGCCTGAACTATCAGATGTTACAGACGGACCGTAGACTATCGCGAGTCAAGTAGGTGGACACCCTACACTCGTGACATAAAAAATTGATGCCAACTGTACATATAATAAAAAAAAATTCAGTGAGAGTCCTCAATAAAAGTAATTTTATATTGCTAGCACTTTAACATTTACAAAATTGAAAGTGTTATTTGATGATGACATAAAATAAGTCAAATCAAACGTACTTTCAAATAATCAAATACAATTAAAAGATATGTGATTGAGGATGAACAATGCCTAATCCGAGCAATATCAAAAAAAAATTCTATTTGAGAAATATTGTGATTGAGGATGAACAATGCCTAATCCGAGCAATGTCAAAAAAAAATCTATTTGAGAAATATAACAACAACAACAACAACAAGTCTTTATCCCACTAAATGAGATCATCAACATGAATCCTATTTCTCCATTGCCTTCCATTGAGAAATAGCTAGACAGATTAACCAGTGAACCATTTTAGTTGTATAGAAGAATATCATGAAAATGATGTTAGATCAAATAATTTATAAAGGGATTTACATTTTTTTATTTATTTGCATTTCTAACACCAAAATTTTAATAATTACTTATAAATTTAATGGTAACAAGACGTAGCAATATTAAGGAGTTTCACCCATTAAACTTGCTTGCTTGTTAGGAGAAGAATTATCATTCAAATACTTATCCAAATAATTATAACCATTAGAGTCCACTCGGTTCAAACATTTATTACCTTCATTATTCTATTGACATTAACATCATTTTTTTTCTATTTATAAGAACGTTAATAGAATTGAATATAGATTTTGAAACTTAGAATGAATAATAATGATAAGAGAGGTAATATCGATGATATTAAAGTGTTGGCCACACCAAGGTAAACCATGAATGAGGATGATGCTTTAGCAAAAGGTCAAATAGGCATAAGAATCTCCATGGTTGCTTTTAGAAAGCATATACACAATATTAGTTATAAATTGCCTTCAATAATGTCTATGGAAGTAGCTTCTATAGCCCTCATTGGAGGAGAAGATGATGCTTTTAAGATGGTACTAATTGCACAATGCTCATAAGATAATAATACTCCAAAGGAGAAATGCGCAATAATTAATGTTTCTTTAAGCATTATCTTCCTTGGGGTTCGTAAGAGGGTTTATAGTGATAAACATTTTCTCGTAGTGTTTAAGCATAACAAAGAAATTCACTTAATGAGACATCTGAACAAATATAAGAAGACGAAAAAATATTTGAAGTCTTATTCATCATTAAAATAAATTTTCTTTAGCAAAAAGAATATTTTAATGTTGGCCACTAATCCAACCCTTAAGATTATACATAGTCTCAGGTTCGCGAGTTGGGCTTGAGTTTGATCTAAAATTGACCAAACCCGAAAATATTTTACCCAAACCTGACTCAAATATTAAATGTGATGGGAAGTTCAACCCGTACTCACTAAAATATTCAATTATGTCACAGGTCAATTTTGAGTGGCAGACAAACTACCCAAAAAATAAATGGGCTAAGAATCCCAACCCGAACCTGACCCAAAAATTACAATTAAATTTAACTATAATAGCAATAAAATGGGAATCAATTGATAACTCAGAGCATGCATATTTCATTAAATTACCAGAATGGTTTGATTATATAACTACTCAATTTCATAATGATTTCCATTTTCCTCAAATAGCCACATAATTGGGCTCAACATAAGTAAGTCAAGCGTGATCAAATTTCATAATGATTTCCATTTTCCTCAAATAGCCACGTAATTGGGCTCAACATAATTAAGTCAAGCGTGATAAGCTTGACTAACCTCAAATTAGATAGCATATTTGTGATAATCAATGTAAAATGAGATTGACAATGAATAGACTTGCAAGATCCATTACCTATATGACTATGATACCTTTAATTATCGCATGTCACGTATTTGCAAGATCCATTACCTATATGACTATGATACCTTTAATTATCGCATGTCACGTATCCATGTCATCTTGAATAAGTTGCTAACAAACGTTTGAATTTAAATTTAAAATATAATTTTGTACTTTTTAGTTATCATTTAAGTTTCTAACTTATGAGAGTGCCAACGTAGAATTTACATTCGTCATTATAAGCGGTAAGCTCAAAAATGATCAATAAAATCCACAATCAATGCAAATAAATCCTTTTTTTTTACTCCTTGCGAGCCTTATAACTATTTGTCTAATGGAGAGATCGATAATGGATTAATTAGTCTTGCTTAATTTTCAAGCCATCACTTTTCATCTTATTTCTCTGCCTCTTGAGTATCTTCCCCCAATTATGTAGTTTAATTCAAAGTATTAATCCCTTACATTTCACTACATGCTTGTACTTATGCTTATTCCTCATATGCCGCAAGATCAAGTGAGAATATGAGTTACTACCTTCATTTATACACATTATAGATGATCCCATTTTGATTTATTGTAAAAATAAGTCTCATAAATACTTTGATGTTTACATAAAATATATCTTAAAAATAAAAAAAATAGAAATAGAGAGAACAATTAATCATACAACAATCAAAATCCTCCTCTTCTTCATTGATCTTATGGTTTGATCTATAGTATTTTAAATAAAAAATCATTATTGTTGATAGATATTTACATACACATATTTTGACATAATATAAATAAAAAAAGAATATTTTCTAATAATTAAAAAATAAAAGTTATAACACTTTTACCAATCATGCTAAGGTACATAAGGCCTCCATCCTCCTAAGATTCATTGGTCCAAACCCATCCTCTTCAAGTCTACAACATCCCTTTGAATTCCCTAGTCCTCACCACAAATCTTAAAACACACACTATTTCTCTTAACATGCACTCCCTCATTGCCTTTTATTTTCAGCTTCCATGCCCTAAAAATCTCTTACAAGGGTGCATTTATCATTTCCCACAACCATCGGACGGTGGAGAGCGCTCCGTGGAAACTTGATAGCTTTCTTCCCACCCCTTTCGCCGGCATTCGTAACTCTAATTATTTTTTCGCAGAGAAGACGACGCATGGCAATGGGAAGCTTAGCCAGGCGGAGAGCCGGCAGCATCCTCTTCCGGCCGGCGGAGATCGGTCGATTTGCGGCGGGATGGAGAGGTTTTGCGGCGGCTGCGGGGGCGGATGAGAGCGACGTGGTGGTGAGCGGCGGCGGTCCGGGGGGATATGTGGCGGCGATCAAGGCTGCGCAGCTAGGGCTCAAGACTACGTGCATCGAGAAGAGGGGAACTCTCGGCGGGACCTGTCTTAATGTCGGCTGCATACCTTCGAAGGTAAGCGATTAATTTTTGTCTATTTTCTTTGTTTGAATTGCGAGTTAGGGTTTCTGGTGTTGTGCTATTTATGCGAGGTGCTGATTTGGTGATTGGAATGGATTTTTGTAACTCTCAGCAGAAATTGCATCAAATCGCTTTTAAATTGACTGAGATCTGCAAAATAACATTTGTATCTGCTTATGTTCAGAATTGGATTTGAGTGATATAAAATTTTAAATTTTTTTTAATGAGGTTAAGGGTTGTTTTCTAAAATGAATTTTCTTGGTAAAAATAACAAGAGGTTGCGGCCTTAGCTGCTTTAGTAAATCTCGTAAATGTCGATTTAAATGCGGATTTATGGCAAAGCTGAGAAGAAAACTATGAAGAAACCGGGTTTATGGAATCCAAGATATAAAAATGTCGTTTTTGTTGTCTGACAAAATTTAAGTTAAATCTTACTTGAATACGTTACCACGCAACCCCTAAAAAGTTGCATTTGTAGCATATATATTGAAAGAAATGAATAAGGAGTGCAGTTCCATTGTGGAGGCTCATGAATGAGGAGTGAGGGTGATGGTAATGAAGAAGGTGACACGGACCATTTGCGATCTTCTTACTGAATAGTCTTTGATAAATCTTGACCTTCACAATTAGCTGGTGATTGATTCTCTAAGTGATTGGTCATTGGGAGAAAAGGATTAAGGGTTTGCTATTGACAAGAAATGTCATTGGATTTGTGAAAGGTATAGAATGTGCTTTGTTTTATGGAAGAAGATTATAAAGTGGAGAGGGAGAAGTGTAATTCTTCCATTTGACTGCGCATATATTCTACTAAAGAAAATTAAGCCACTTGTATAGTGGATGATAAGAAATTTGAAGTACAAAAGTGTGAGGAAGGTTAACTTTTTCATAATCCTTACACTCTTTTAGTTTGAAGGTGATACGAAGAATTTCCATGCTTTGCAAGGCATCATGTAGTAAGGAGAATGCACCTTCTTCCTCTCTAATGACCACTTTTAGTTCTAGTGATTGAGCCTACTAATTAACTAATCAAGATAAGGTTTTGGATACAAACTTGAGATTTGATTACACTTGGTCCCATGTAAGCTATCTTAAAATCAAGCCAAACATATAATTAAGTAGGGTCATTTTATTCTTCCTCTATAATGACCACTTTTAGTTCTAGTGATTGAGGTTGACTACTTAATTAGCTATAAAAGTGGGATTTTTCGGTAAATCATTCTAGTTAGATCTAAGAATTTTGAACATATAAGCCTACTAATTAACTAATCAAGATAAGGTTTTGGATACAAACTTGAGATTTTATTACACTTGGTCCCATGGAAGCTACCTTAAAATCAAGCCAAACATATAATTAAGTAGGGTCATTTTATTCTTTGTTCTCAAACATACTAGTTGGTTATTTAAGAGGTGGGCTAAGAAGTTCACAAAATGCTTATCTGATTCTTGTTTATTAGCTTATTTATTTCTCATTTTTATGCTTTTAAGCTCAACATGTATGTAACCTATATATTGAAGTTGATTATGTTGATAAATAGATGAATGCAATGTACTCTCATTCAATGATGAAATCATTTATTATGTAATTTGATTTTTTTTTAATTAAATTTCAGAATCATAACATTGGAAAAAAAATACAAATGGATATATATGAATTATTTATGAATGATTATGCATATGAAATTATTTTAAATTCGGGCTTCTTTTGATTGGTTTTAATTCTTTCTAGCCTTCTTTTAGTGTAAATTTACATGGATGATGTTGAGGATGTAGATATCTGTTAGTCCCATAGCATAATATGTTTTGAATCAATATTGGTGTTAGAACTTTATATTGCATCATGATGCCTAGATGTATAGGATATAATAATTAGGACAAGCAATAAAATGAAAAAAAATATACAATTTAAATGAAACCAGCATATTCTTATGAGATTCAGAATTATATTCTTATTAAAGGGGGGAAATTGTTTTACAGGAATTTTATATTGGATCAATAATTTTGAAGAATTATTTGAAAGCTATAATATATTGATTTCCAAAGAGTTGAATTTGCTAAAATAAAACTAAAGAGACGTTCTTAATTCTTTTGGTAAGTTGTGCAATAAAATAAAATCTGTTTGGGTTGATATGAATAACTTTTATGATTTAGATTATATTTTGTTGATTTTGAAGATATCATTGTCAGATTGACCTTTCTCTTGCCAAAGATCCAATACATTATTAGTGGTTGCATAATATTATACTAGTCTTATTGTAACTACTGTACTTGCACTTGATATTATTAAAAATTCATCAATAGCATTTCCTCTAAAGCCTCAAGAGCACAAGAATCATTCATTATTGAATTTGATTTTATTGAAGAGGTTGTATTTTGTGAATATTTTTTAAATGTCATTATTGTAATATATACATCTAATTTTGCTTCATCTGAATTTCCGCTAACGTCTATGTTAGAATTTGTTCATGAACATACATCTAAAGTCAAGTAAGATTTAAAATTTGAATTTGAAATGGAAACTGTGATCATATCTGAACAGAAGTCTTAATTAGAATTTGAATGTGAATTTAATTGAATTTGAGCATGAGTTGATTTTTGAATCTTTATCTTTATTAAAATTCAAGCCTATCCATGAATGTGAACTTGAACCCAAAAAAAAAAAAATTATATTGAACTTTATTCACCAATCAAAGAATATGATGATATAACCATGATTTTGATACTCGAAAATGTTAATGATTTTGATTTCTTGATTTACAAACTTATAAAAATGACTTTAGGGAGAAAATAAAGTTGCACCAAGCTACCATTAAGACTCATTTATGATAAATACCTTCATGAAGGCTAATCTTTAAGCTACTTTGAATATTTTTCCTTAAAAAAATTGTCAATCTAGATGATAGAATGCCATATTTATATGATTAGCTTGTTTATCGATGAACATTTTATGGAACTTAGTTATATTAATTTGAAGTTTTATTCATATCTCATTTTTTAGAATTTGTTTGCCATTATTAAGAAGCACGCTATTATTTTAGCGATATCTTTATATGCATCATATGATATTGCTTCCTTTAATCATTTGTATGATTTGTATATGAACATTCATAAAAATAGTTTAATAAATGATGAAAATTATAAGTACGTCGAAACAAGAGATATGTGAAATTCAATCCAAGTGAAAAGAATAGGTCTCTTAAATCATATAGGCTTCTGTTAGATTGACGCCTACGACACTGTTCGCATCGTGCTCCACTGCATCAGCGTTGAGCCAACCAAAATAGTTTGAAGTCTTATGTTAGACGTAAGTCTAAAAGGACAATATAGTCATTTATTAGTTATGATTGTGGGATATAAATTGACTTACTTTATTTAGGGTTCAGTTGTGTGTGAATATTGTATGCAATCTTAGGGTTAAGGTTTGGGAGAGATCACCTATCTCTTGAATTGTAGGTATTTACCTTTCATGTATTCGGGATTGTGCCATTTTGATTTGGTATCGGCGGAATATAATCTATTATTTGTACCATAATATCTTGTGGAAACTTCTCTCGTTCCTATCAAATTGGCATCAGGTCATTTGAGGCCGCTGCTTCACTAGAAATCTGTCATTCGAGTTAGGAGATGCTGCTCCACCTCGTATCATTTTGAAATCATCACTGTCGTGTTTGTGATCGAACCTAACGATACAGTCACGATTTGAGCTAGTTGGGAAGTCAACTACAGGATCACGAGTTGCATTCATGATGGAGCCTCGCGATAAAGTCGTGATTCGAGCTAGCTTGGAAGCCAACAACGAGATCACCAAGTACAGGAGTTCTACCTTCGTGATCAGAAACTGTTCTAGGAGTAATGGCAGTCAGAAAAGTAGATATACTTGAGGAGAAATTAGAACGAGAGGTGAGCCAAATAAAATATAGAATGAAGAAACATTTTTTTGTCTATGGAGGAGCGGTTCTCGTCCATAGATGGGAGATTCACGGCACCAAAAGAAATGAGGAAGAATATCATAGAGTTTTACACAAACTCGCTGCCACCTACCACATATTATGCAACGACATCTGGAGCGGATGCAAGCGACAATAATCAAAAGGATTTGTGTGACGTCAGGGCAACGTTTTTGCTTTAGGCAAATCTGGAGCTGCAAGATCGAGCAAAGAAATCGGGAGTGGATTCGAGTGGGAACAAATGGAGGGAATCATGTGACATCTGGAGGTTTGGAATGAGAGTGTAGGAGGAACCGGACTTCATGTAATTTGGGGTTGGAGAATATTGATTCGAAGGATTTCAGACTGGAACACGAAACCACGATGTGTGAAACTCCAGTCGAGGGTTGCATCCAACTGCGTGCCTTTTACTGCAGCAACTTTTTGAGCAGAAGGCAATTTAGAAGCTTATAAGTACGATTGAGTCAGACTTATGGAAGAAGGGAAATCAATATGAGTCAAGAAAAGAAACCTAATCTCCGCTTCATGAGTGGAATGAACTTTGGTCAAGGAAATTGAGGAGGAGACTCGCGCATAAGGAAGTTGAAGATACCGATCTTCTATGATTATGTTTATCAGATGAATAAATATTTTTATGTTAATGGGCGGACGGAGGAAGAAAAAATGATGGCAATGGATCTGTTTTTGGAAGGAAAGGTTCTAGTGTGGTATCAATGTAGAGAACAATTACAATTAATCAGAACATGGAAAGAATTCGACTAATTATTGGAGTGTTTCAAAACCACACGAGAAGGGGGTTTACATGAATAGTTTTTTGCACTAGTCCAGGAAGGGTTCGTCGTGGATTATAGACAAAAGTTTGAGATGATATCCGACCATTTAAAGGGGATATCAAAAATAGTATTGGAAGGAAACTTCATGAAGGTGTTGAAACAAGTAATTTGAGTAGCACTTAGTCTGCTTAGACAGTGAGAACTGAGGGAAACTATGGAATTAGTGCAATTGATTGAAAAAAAATGCAATGGAACATGTTATTAGGAGCAACACAAGTGGAGCGCCACACCGAAATGCTACAACCACGACGATACCAAATACTCAAACAGTGAGATTCCAGAGGGGGAGGCTCCACAAGACAAGAATAATGGGTCATGGCCTAGGGCAACATTGAAACGCCTGACAAAAACAGAGATTTAGGAGAAGCGAGCTAAGGGTTATGTTTTCGGTGTGACTAGAAGTTTGCCCCAGGATACCGTTGCAAGGATCGAACCTTATAAGTTCTCACAGTCTATGACAATAAGGAAACAAGGGATGAAAAAACAGATAAGGTTGTGGTGGAGAAGAAACATCCTCAGGTGGATATTGTAGAAGTCTCATTAAACTTAGTGGTGGGGTTATCACCGAACCACACTACGAAACTTCATGGACAGATCAAAGTGCAAGACGTAGTGATGTTGGTAGATAGTCAGGCCACCCACAAGTTCTTCTCTACTCAAGTAGTGAAACAATTGGGGCTTCAGATGATTGACACAAGAAGTTTTGGAATCATGATGGGGACATGACAGGTGGAGAAGAACATGAGTGTTTACAAATGGGTGATTTTAACACTACAATGTATTCAGGTGATGAAGAATTTTTCCCCATTGGATTTAAGGAGCACAAACATGATATTAGGTTTGAAATAGTTGCAATCCTTAGGAGAGACTAAGTTGAATTGGAAACTCCTAACAATGGAGTTTCAAGAGACAGATAAAATGATGGTACTTCGCAGTGATGCTAGCTTGTGCAAGATCTTTGTGACACCCAAGACCATGGTTAGGGCAATATAGAATGCAGGTTTGGGATTCTTGATCAAGTTGTATAGCATGAAAAAGACAATAGGGAATTGACGAGATTATAGCACCGATCCAATAACTCTTACAATAATTTGCAGAAGTTTTTCAGTTGTCAAGCAAATTGCCGCCTCAGAGGGAACACAAGCATGTAGCAACACTAAGATCGAGTGTTTCTCCCATCAATGTGTGCCCATATCGCTACCCCCGAGTGCTAAAGGACGAGATCGAGAAATTGATATGAAAGATGTTGGAGATCGGGATCATATAGCTTGGTTTGAGCCCCTTTTCTAGCCCAATTTTGCTATTGGATGGGAGTTGGCGTTTTTGTGTGGATTATCAGATCGTGATAAGGGAACAATGTCTGACAAATTTCCCATCCAGATGATTGATGAGTTATCAGATGAGTTTTTTGGGGTTGCGGTATTTTCCATGGTTGATTTGAAGTAAGGATACCATCTGATTCAGATGTGGTAAACGAATATACATAATACAACATTTCGAACTCTTGAGGGCCATTACGAAATTTGGGTTATGTCATTCGGGCTCACCAACTCATTGGCTACATTTCACCCTTTGTTCCTCCGGAAGTTTGTGTTGGTGCTCCTTGACGATATCTTAATGTGCAACCGTTCCTTGGCAAACCACATTGACCATTTGAGAAATTTGTTGATGGCACTCGAGGTGTCAGCAATTCCATCGAAGGTGGCAACTATGTTGGATTTGTCACTACCTAAAATATTGAAGCGGTTGAGAGAACTTTTGGGACTTACAGGATACCACCAAAAGTTCGTGAAAGTTTACAGTTTGATTACATCGTCGTTGACAGAGCAATTGAAAAGTGGGGGGAAACTGCTTTTGAGAAGTTAAATAAGGCAATGGCGAGCCCACCAGCACCTGTGGTACTTAATTTCAGTGAACTATTCATTATAGAGAAGGATGGCTCAATCTATGAGTTAGTCACAGTCCTCATGCAGCGTCAACGACCCATTGCTTATTTCAATTTAAGTGTTGATGGCGAGAGCCAGACTCAAGTTAGTTTATGAGTAGGAACCATATGACTTGATCGAACAATATTTTTCTCTCATTGACCATGATAATGTATTTTTTCGAGTGGGGAATAATATTAGACTTGCGCCTACAACACCATCCGCCGCATTCTCAAATGAGTCGATGTCGAGCCTGCTAAATAAGTTGAAATTCTTGTGTTAGGAATAAAACTAAAGGGCAATTTAGTCATTTGTTAGTTATTATTATGGAGTATAAACAAGACTTAATATGTTTAGAGTTAGGTTATGTGCGGGTTATGTTTGGGAGAGATCGCTTACCTCTTGAACTATTGGTGTTATCTCGTGATTTTGTCCTTTTTATTTGTTACCGGCGGAACATAATCTACAATTTCTACCCTAATTCTTACGGAAACTTGTCTCATTCCTATCAACTTCTTACAGAAACATTTAAGAAATTAATTGCTACAAAGTTAGGACCATTTAAAACCCTACAAAGTATTGGATGAATGCTTATAACTTGAACCTTAAAAAAAAAAAACTGGCATTAGTCTAATTTTGAATGTTATTGATATAACTTTATATCATGAATATGAACCAATCCGTTAGTTTTTTCTCTTTTTTTTTTCATTTTCATTTGGAATTCACATCCAATGTATCATTTATGTGATCTCAAGCTTTTAACCAGTCATATATTTGAATCTGTTATTGGAAAAGAAATTATATTCATTCTTAATGGGTGGATGCCAAATATACTTTAGAAGGGATAATTACATACAAACCACCCAAACATTGATATCTGGGTGATTGTTTTGAACTACTGAACCAATGTATGCACGAGTGTCACAATCAAATTATTAAGAATTTAATAAAAAAAATGAAACATATGAGTCGGGTTTTACAATCAATCTCAATATTTGAGTGAGAATTTGGAAAATGGATGAAGAGGGTGGTTGATTTGTAAATAGCAAGCTCCCCATTTTATTTACATCAATCCTACTTGTAAGTATAAAGTTTCGGTTGCCACAATCCCCCATATCATTGAGTCATTTTAAATTATAGCTTAAGCTTGATGGAAAAATAAATAAAGTTGATTAGAAAAATATTATTATAATGGCAATTTTCCTTGTTTTTTTTTTCATTTATTATTATTGTGGGTATAAATAGACTTAGGGTTAAGTTTATGCAGGAGATTCGGTTGAGAGGCTTAAGTTTTAGGGTTTTGAGAGAAATTTACTAGATCTTGAATTATAGGAATTGGGCTTGGCTTGTTTCTTACAAGCTAATGATTTGTTTTGCATGTTTAATGTTGGCAACTTTATCTTTGTTTTCTAACTTTGTGTGATAATTCATGCGTGCATCTAACATTAATATGTTTGAAGACTTATATACATATCATTCAATCCTTGTGTATTTACATATCTAACACACATATCTAACACCCAAACTTCAATCTTTACGTACATGACGCATTGCTTTTGCATGGAGAGGCATATTTTATTTTTTTAAAAGTTAAAATTGCGATGTTTTTGATATGATACGAAAGACTCGGGTGGTGTAAATGTAAAATGTAAAATTTACGTGTTAGTGTTAGATATGTCAATACATAAGAACTGGGTGGTATCCATGTCGCTGACCTAATATGCTTCATTGCATTCATTTCAAAGTTTGAGAAAATTGATCTCACTTTTTGCTATTATTCCAAATTATTTCACTTTTAGAAATATTCTGATATTTTTTTATATGATGTTAAATATTTAAGTGGAATACATGTAAATATGAACGTTCGGGTGTTAGATATGATAAATACATTAGAATTTTGGGGTATGAATGTAAAATATTTACATACATGCTCATAATTCTAATGTATTTACATATCTAGACCCCAAACTTCAATATTTACTCTTATAACTAGGGGTGTAAATGAACCGAACACGAACGAATAGAGCTTGTGTTCATGTTTGGTTCGTTTGAAATTTAGTTTGTTTGAAATAAG